CCTTCAAATCTAAATAAATATTGACCTGCAGATTTAAGTTTCATAGAAACCAATAGGTAGAAGACGTACATATTTCAACTACAAAAACTTGTTTCTTTTGCAACATTTATCTTGAGGGAATATAATTTTGGAAATTCTCTAGGACTAACTTATCTCTAGTTAAAAAAATTTAATTCTAAATTCATTGTTAGATTTATCTAAGTATATAAGATATTAATAACTGATGGAAAGTTCAAAAGTCAGATTTTTAAAGAGCTCGACTCCGTATAAATTTCATAAGCCATTGTTATAACTTGATATTTACTCTCAAGAATTCTGAATACTTATTTGCACTATTTCTAGAATTTGTAAGATCTGCAAATTAGATAAGTTACAACACATATTAGACCAACGAAAAAATTTTGTTTAATATTATGAATCTATATAAAAAAAGAGAAGAGATATCAACTAGAGTAATATTTGAATCAAGGATAATATGGATTTTATATTATTGTTAAATCACAGTTACGAAATTAAAATATGGACTTTATTAAATTGTGCTGGGATAAAATTAGAAAATAATTTTTTATTTTTGATTAGTGACTTCTATGAATTGTATATTAGTAATCATTGAATTTGTAAGTTTCTTTAAGGGTACACACAAGATCAAATTTTTATGATTTAAGTCATAAGTGTTCATATATTTATTTAAAGATAAAATAGAAACTCAAAAGTTTTAAATGAAATTATTAGTGTGAAGCATAATTATTCTCATAATTTTGTTTAAGGGTAAAAGAGGAATTCAAAAATTTTTCATCTAAGAGACTTTTATTTGAGATATAAATAGATACTACATTTCGATTTGACCTTAGCTGTTAGTGTTAGCTTTAACTCTTCCAAGATATTCGAAAATATGATCTCATACAAATCTGAATGTCTTCCAACAGGTAGTACTGAACTGTTGGGTTGTTCTGCCGAGCCAGCGGAGCTGTTGGCTGGAATGACCTGAGCTATCGAGCTAAGTTGGCATGGGTAGAATGAATCTAATCTCCTTTATAATATTTGTTATCCCTCTCACTCTTATAAGATTTGTAATTATCACTAATCATTCGTCATTATCATGATCTAAAAGCATAACCACAATGGGCATAATTTTCTCTCAAGAGTAACTGTTAATGATTGAAAAGTCAAATAGATTTTGTTTATTCATCAACAGTTTATATCACTCTAGAAAGACAAAAGGTTGTAATTAGGTACATGCGTTGAAACAATTACTACGGATAAAATTAAAATAAAACAATTGTATTCTGCTGTGAAATCATTGATACAACAAAAGTGTACAATATTTGGAACAAAACAGCTGTGGATATCGCTGTGTTTGGAAGACGGGTTAAAATGTAAGCAACTGTAGATAAATGGAGAAGAGGACATGAATAATGGGTATGCATTTTATACACAACCTTTTTTATCCTGATTCTGAAGATCGTAAAGTCATACAACGGTTTTGAATCCTAATCTCAGAGGTCTGCTATCACTTTTGCCTTTCAGCAGCCTGTTCACCGGAAACAAAAAAACAAATCAAAATTAGGCAAAACAAAAACAAACAGCACTTGGCCTATGGCCTAGAATAGCACACAATATAGAGAATGAACCAGAAATGGGTGCTCCAAAAGGACTGAGGCACAAATAAGAATGTAAAAAACCCCAAATCAAAGATAAAAAGGGCAGGAGCATGCATATTAAACTTTTAAGAGACGTTCTTTTGCAGGAACTGCCACGCAAATCCTTAAATTGTGAGATAACTGAAGCAGTAATTGATAAGGACGAGGTTTTCAAAATAGTTTTTGGGGGGCAAGTTAATGGCCCTTGTTACTGCATTTTCCTTCTTTATAACTAGGGCACTAATTTTATGTCAATTTTAATGCATGCGAAAAGCATACAAGTGAGGGCCATCATAATCTCCAAAATATGTGTTAATAAGGTTAGTGTGCTTGTGATATGCTAAATTGGAGCTTACAGGTCAACAAGAGCAAGGAAAACTAAGTTCTAAGCAACCGGACGAAGTGTCAGACGTTATAAGGTGAGCTTCAAACCACGAACAGTAAAAATCAATGAAGAATGTCGAAGTCAAGAAGTTACGGACAAAGTGTTAGACAATCCAAAATAAGCATTGGCCAACCAACATTCAAATTCTCTTAAAAGATAAGGAAAAATTCTAGATGAAGTGTCGGATTGCGCACCTAGGTTACTGGACAATTGGTTCCTTATTTTCTGAGGTAAACCAAGATCAAAAGATCCCAGATAAAGCATCGGAAGTAAGAGCTAACATGTCGGGCGACCAGAACACGTATACAATGTGGAAGAGGGAAGAATAAAGAAGTAGTTGCCCTCGCATGAAGCACCAAATGAACCGCAGACAACTGGTTTTCTAGAAGTTTTCAATTGCAAACTCTTGTATCTCTTGGACGAACCACCAGTTGAAGCATCGGACAACTGACCTACTTGAGCTATAGAAATGAAAATTTTCAGAACCAGTTGGACGATCCACCAGATAGAGCAACGGACAACCAGCCTTACACCAAGAAGTTAAAACCAAATTCAGAAGGTTTAAACATTACTCAGACAGAGAGCACTGGAGAATTGCTACATGCCAAACAAGGGAATTAAAACAAGGCCTCAACGATGGGCAACCAGTTCTAATTTTTTTGATGTGAAATAAAATATCACATATAACAGAGTAGTACATAAGAAATGGGCAAAAAGTGAACAAGTTGTCCAACCCAAAATCAACCAACAAAAAAAGCCGAACTGTTAGGCTTTAAGTATGTGTAAGCCGAACTGTATCAACCAACAAAAAAAGTGAACAGTCCAGCTTAAATATGTATAAGCCGAACTATAAGTAGCACAAAGCACTTATCCTGCCATAATGCAAGAAGAAAGGAAAGTCATCAAAATCCTTGTTGGCCAGAGTCCAATAAGATGCTAAAAACTAGATCCAAACTCATAAGCATTCCACCACCTCACATGTATCTTCTAATAATCTAGCATTTCTTCCAACCAAATGACTCAGAGAGTAGAAGGCTGCCTAGCTTCATGAACACTGTAAATCAGCTAATCAACTTGAAAACTTTCCCCAAGGCCAAAATTTATACACAATCCATCCTTGACTACATAAACAACGCTATAGGTGATTTTACCACGATCCCCCGAGCTAAAAGTTGAGATTCAAGCTGATTTGGAATACAGAATTTGAAATTCATGTCTTGGAGCCAAAATAAGAGGAAGAGTGTTCCAGCATCTGTAACTCCTTGTAATCTCTCCAACCTAACTGCAAGCCTACTATATCATATCTAACCTTGCAAAGGGATTTTGTGGTAACTCTGTGTGGTATAAAGTGAGTTGATGAAACAGAACTGTGTATAGTGAAGGACCAATTTCATATCAATCTGGCAAGTGTGGGTCCAACCGACACCATCTCAATGTTGTGTTTGTATTGAACAACCAACTTCACACAAGATAAATGGTGAATTGAGCAACAGGTCCATAGTCATAGTGTAGTTTGGGTTGGAACTGCAGAGTGGGTGTAGTCATCACCGAACCACTATCGATATTGTGTGCATTCTATTCCTTCCATTCTTATTTAGGGTTAATTGCACTGGAAGTCCCTAAAGTATGGGTTTTGCCTCATTTTGGTCCCCAATATTTCAATTGCATCATTTTAGTCTCTAAGGTATTGAATGTATTTCTATGTAATCCGTTAAGCAGACAGCGTCCAGATTACTAACGATTTTTTATCATAATCTTGTCACGCGATACCTAAATATGGACAAAAAATAATTTGGATCCTTCTTGACCAAATTTTTACACAAATTTTGATCAAAGAGCTACCCAAATTAGACAACTTTGATCATGAGCTATCCAAATTTTGGTCAAAGCTATCCATATTACACATTTTTGGTCCAGAGCTACCAAAATTTTGGTTAAGAGTTACCCAAATTATTTTTGTTCATATTTAAATATCACGTGCCAAGTTTATGATCAAAAACCATTAGCAATTTTAATATTTTTAAATTTGAATATTGTCTACTTGAGGGACTACATAAAAACATATTCAATACTTCAAGGGCCAAAATAATGCAATTGAAATATTGGGGATCAAAAATGAAAAACTCTATACTTTAGGGACCTCCACTGTAATTAACCATCTTATTTATTTCTACACTTAGATTGAAAGATGAACTGGACTTATTGACCCATCCATCACCTTTGCACTCAGCTTCTAAATAGGGAGAGAAAAATATGTGAATATCCATTCAGTCGAGCTACAAAGTTTGGAATCAACCAATTCACACCCTCTGCCCTTTTCATTTGATGGGTATATTCTTACGGAACATATAGCATTGGAATCACATTTTATGATTGTTATGCCACCTGCTACACAATCATTGCATTATCATAAAAAGGAGCTTCATTGATGAATGATTTTTTGAACACTATAAAATTGAAACCCAAGACGTGGATATTGGAAAAAAGCCACAGCTACTCTATAGACTACACAAAAAATATATAAATAGACAAACAAAAATGCTAGCTTAAAAGAAAATAAATTTAGTCAAATTTTATCAAACTAATTAACAAGTTGTTGAAGATTGAATGAGAAAATATGAATCCGTAAAGTGGGCTAAAAATACAAAATAAGAGCTTATTATCAAACCAAAAAAAGAAAAAGAAAATAACAGTATCAAAAAGAGAACAAACCTTTTGGAGCTTCTTCAAAACTGAATCTTCGAACATCTGATGTCCAGCACCAAACAAATTTCCCTTTGGACCATCATTTTGAACTGATGTCTCGGCATGCGGAAACACAGGAGTAACAGCTGGTTGAAGAGGCTGGACAAGTAGAGGATTTGAGAGATCCCCAATCACACTCCCAGTGGCAACAACCTGAACATTGTAGTGTAAGTAATGATAAAAAATCCTGACTCATAATAAAAATGACCTAATTCAGGCTAATGATCAAACTACAGACTTACAGCTGCATCTTTAGATGCCATCACAATCAGAGCAGAACCTTTCTTCTTAGAACTCCTGATCAATACATCTTCAACCACACCAAACTTCTCAAACAAATCCCTCAGTCTTTGAGAAGTATAATCCCCACCAACATTCTCCCATGATACTTTAAGCACCTTCTCCTTATCTAATACACTCCCCCCACTATCCATGCTCTCCTTTCCCCCTAGCGGTGTCTCTTTCTTCAAAGTTGATTTCGTGGATGCTGCTTTATTTGCATGCATTGCGCGAATTCTAGCAATCTCTTCTTTGAGTTTCCTAGCAATCCTCTCTTCTTCATCTCGAACCTTTACAGTGGGATCAGAAGCAAAAGCAGCTCGCTCTCTTTCTTCAAGATCTGACATCATTTTCCGACGCTTGGAATCATGTTGTGATTCGCGCTGAACTTTTTCCCGTTTGACTCGGAGTAGATCATCAAACAATTTCCTAGCTTTTTCATCCTTGAGGATCTCATAAGATGTTTTGAGTTTTTGAAAATTAGCATGAGCATTCGGATCATCCGGTCTCTTGTCCGGATGCAACTCCAAAGCCTTCAACTTATAGGCTTTTGAAATCTCTTTCTCCGAGAGCTTGTACCTTTCTTCACCAGATGGCAACCCCAGAACAGCATAGTGGTCAACCTCAATGTCCATATCTTCAGCTGATATTGATCCTAAAATTCATAAAAACTAAAATAAAATTAAGAGTTACAAAAGTTAAATCAAACATTCACTGAAACAGAAGAACATTCTCTCATAAATGAATGCTAGACAATAACTTTCGGACTAATGACTTTTCAAAGATATAGTCACTCAGATTTCAGATAATTCTAGGCCATTAAAAGCTCCTAGAGAAATCAAATTAATTTTACATTTCTAACTGTAATAGAGCATCCTGTAATTGTTGAGATGTATACATATATGTATGGGCACAAATAACTAGAAACATTAAGAGGAAAAGAGTTTAACAAGAAGTCATTGACATGTTGGTGAACTTTCTCTCTTTATCACTGATTGGTCCCCAAAATCCTAATAATTGAAAGGCGAGCCTGAGGAATGAAGACTGCCTCCAAGACAATGAAATTTGACGTGATGAGCCCCTATTAGTCCAAACAATCAGCCGGTCCAGAGGCCAAACAGGAGCAAACCAGCCAGGAGATCGAAACCAGACTTGGCCCCAATCCACGAACTATATTCTTTGGATCCACATGCCCATCATTCTTAAGGTGAGTGAGTTTTACAACTATCCTGTTGTCTCCACATGTGTGTGCATGAAAAATGATGAGTGAATCAATCGACCCGTCGTACTTCTGTTGTTCTAAAAGTCCTAGTATAAACCAAGTCATGACTTTCTCTCTTTTGTGAAAGAAAGTTGAAAGTACACCCAGTCGAAATTGGATAGATGAAATATGAAAAAATCTCTCATTCAATCTATCTTTGTCATATTTTAATTGCATGATATGCTCTATACTAATGTATAAAATCCTCAGTGAACTAACTCTTAACTCTAATTTATCAAATAGAGTCATCATTCCCTTCAGTAGGTGGCAATCAAGTTGTTTCTAATTCAAGCAATCACAGATTCTTCTTTCTTCCCTTTTCCTTCAATTTTTAAAATAAGATCCATTATCCTAATTTATTACCTCTTCTATATGTAATTTAACTCCTAATCACAAGTAAACTTCTCACATAATGCACAGTAAAAATCATATAAAAAGCAAAACATCATGAACCAATCAATGACTATGCAACAAATAAAGTTATCGTTTTCCTCATAATATGTGTATATGAAAAGCATAACATCCTAAACCAATCAATGACTATGCAACAAATAAAGTTATCGTTTTCCTCATAATATCTGTATAGAGAAACAATCAACTATCTAATGATTTATAATCGTTGGAGATGCAAATATAGTAATGACATATTATTAATTATCAAGACATAGGTCAACAATAGAAAAGGAAAACATGTCACAACCAATAAATTCTTCACTATGGCTTTTATTCAGTCTCTTTACGCAACCCTATTAGCCATCTCAGTGCTGATATGACTTTATGTCAAATAGTGTATCACGAATAAAGATGATAGTTTTGGCATCTGAATTTATGCCAAAAAATCTACTTGAAAATCTATAGCTTGAATGTGCTTCACCAACATCAACAATGCATATAAGCTAATGAGAAAGGCACTGAATTCTTAGAAGAATTTATCTCTTTGATAAGTGCAAATGTTATTAGTGACTCAAAGCTCCAATGTAGGAATGAAACATTGTAATATTCAAAGCTCCAATGTAGTGACTCAAATATATATTTATAAAGTTCCCCTCCAACAGTTGACAACATAAAAGCAAATCTTAAAAAAAAAAAAAATCAATTAATTACTTATCAATAAGATTAGTATTTGTGTCTCATGAAACAAAGTTCTCTCTACAAAAACGTACGAATTATTAGAGATTATTAACAACTAGAATATTAAACTACAAGAGTGTCAATTGTATTATTTTTTCCTAAAAGATTATAGTATCACGCTAAGAAGTACGGGCACGGGTCAAATACGACATGAAACAACACGGAAATGCAAACACGACATTTGGTAAAAAAGTAGAACACAAACACGTTGAGGACACGCTATAGATAATTATGTTTTATATATAAAAATTATATAATTATCACAAATATAGTGATAATGACATATGTTTTTCATAATATTTTATGATAAATAAATTTTATGTCAGGTCATCTAGTGTGAATTTTAAGACTCACATCATAGTAGTCAATAATAATCATTTTTTTCGTAAACGTGCAATAAACATATATAATTTAAATGGAAGCTCTCATTTTCTCAATTGTTCTTGTCTAAATTTGTTATATATCTTTTACTTTTGTTATTATATTTTGAATACAACTTTAATATGTCTAGTGTTAGTAATTATATGTTCTCTTGTAGCATAAGATATTTGGTAGTCAAATTTGTAAGTTTTGTTTAGTATATGTCAACATATGTTTATTATCTAGTAATAAACAGATCGCCAAAAAAGTGTTAGACTGGTTACCAAAGAAGTGTTAGACACGGCAACAAAGAAGTGTTGAAAGCATGTCCAAAATTAAAATTTTATTATTTAATTATGAATACAAATAAAAGAGCGTTGGACACGTGTCAAAGAGTGTCCGAGGAATGTCGGTGCCTAACAAGGATACGTCACCGTCTTTAGAATATCCGTGCTTCATAGGTATCAAGTTATTCGTCACCGTCTTTAGAATATCCGTGCTTCATAGGTATCAAGTTATTCATAGGTATCACATTATGACACTGAGATTTTCACAATCAACAATTCATGTGGCAAAACAAACTTCCTCAATTTTTTGGCCAGCTAATCAACCATACTTCCTAAATTTTTGTAGCCTCCTAAGTAACATGGCTCATCAACATCCCCTTTTAGAATGAAACAAAAAACAACCATTCCCAAAGTATTAATATTTTTGCATATAATACTTTCACTCCAAGTTACGCAACTAAATGTGCATACTATTGGCTTTTCAAATATATACACAGACACACAACAGTTCACTAACCTCCATCCCACTATTATAACACTCTTCAGTCTCCAAATTAGCATGCTAGACTAGCTTCCTATTAAATACACTTTCTTTAGCTAAAATGAGGAATTAATCCAAAAATATTAGTAACATGGATGAATAAAGAACAGTTGAAAGCACACATATCGAGGTGATCCCAATACCAAAAAATATACAAATAAAATAAAATTTAACAGCAAATGCACCAAACAACCACAAGAATCACTACAAGAATAGAAAAGAGAAAACTGAGACAAAGACTATATAAAATCCAATTAGCCTACCATAAATACCTATTCAAAGGTTAGAGCTAGAAAGTTTAACCTCATGAAATCATCAATTAAAGCAAATTTCAACCTTTAAAATTAATAGCACACAGCTCTCTCTCTCACACATGCACAAATTCAAAAGAAAGAGAGAGAGAGAGACTCACCTGGATAGACTGAGAAAGGAGAGTGATCATAGAGAGAAGAGAGAGGAAGGGAGGAGCCGAGAGACAAGGGGGATGAACACAGAGAGAAAGAGAGCTATCCAATGAATTGGGGATATTAGGGCGTGAATTGGGGAAAACAAATTGTGGGTTTGATTTTGGAATTGGGGGAAGTGAAAAACGATATCATTTTGCCAATATGAAATCAAAACATTGATCTATTTCACATAGCATTGCATAAGATTTACCTAATAATAAAGTTATTATTAGCTTAACAAGGCCAACTATTTTGTTAACTATAATGGATAGCTCTATGATATCCAAAAATAAATTGTACTCAAAAATAATTATCCTCAAAATCAATGCATTAGTTATTGAATAATGCTATGCTTCCCAAATTTTATCCCAAAAAATTAATCCCAAATGAGTTGGCACCTTCACACACCACACATTATCCCCTAAATCAGCTTTTTCATAAAATGTGCGGTTTGTGAAGGTGTCAATTCACTTGGGATGAGTTTTTTGGGATACATTTTGGGAAGCATAGCATTACTGGTAGTGATCATACTGAAAAATGCTACAAGATCAACCTCAACTTATCGGGTACCGCCATAAAATAAACAAGATGCATAGATATTAAATGTGGTACATAATAAAAAATTATCAAGTAGATTAGTGCATATTGGCCCAGATACAAATAAGACAAAATTCTCACTAATATAAAATAAATCAGGCAAAATTAGGTTTTAGAGTTGAATTTGAACGATTCAGTGTAAAAACCTTAATTATTAGAATTGAACCGACCATTGTACCGATAGAAGAACCGGGTCAATGGTTCACCATTGGGTCAACTGGTCGGACCAGTCGTATGATCAAAAAATTAAAAAAAAATAATAATTTAGCAAAAAAAAATATGAAACATGTCCCTAGTGTATACAATTAACAATCACAATCACACAAAACAAAACTTTGGTACACTGACTCAACCCATAAATGAAAACTCAATCCACAATCACAATCTAGGAAGCACGGATACGGACACGAGTGTCGTATCCAATATGAAACGGACACGGGGATACGACAGAGTTTTAAAATATAGAACACGGGTGCGACAAAAATACGGCTAATTAAAATAATATTATATATTTTTTATACAAATAACATTAATAATAAGACCTAAAAAACCTTGAATAGTTGGTTATTATTTTATGATTGGACAATGGGCTAATATTAAATTGGATAGTCGACTTATATGTTATAATTGAATAGTGGACCAACACCAAATTTGAATGTGGCCTTAGAACAAAGTGCACTGTGGGTGATAACTATTTAATGTATTTGGGGTCTCAATGTCATTTTTGAAATGTAAGAGGGTGTCTGTATAATATAATCAAATGTCAGGGGGTGTGAGTGTAATTTATCCTTTTCTTTTTTTGTTGGTATCGTCTCTATTCAATCAAGACGAGAGAGAGAGAAGAAAAATAAAAAAAAATCCTTAGGTAGCCGACACCATCTCAGGAGGAGAAAGGAAGAAGAAGGCCGTAGATCCGATCATTGAAGCAGATCGTTGAAGCATATCACTGAAGCAGATTCTTCTTATTGCATCACAGCACTAGACCAACAAGAAGAGCACCAAAGCACCAGACCAACAAGAAGAAATGGGCAG